CAGAGACAATCTCTTATTGTTTCCAGGGAGACACAATGCTTATTTCTACTTTTCCAGCTTGACAAATCTGCCCAGGACGTTCTTAGTTCAGCGGTGGGTGGCGGGTTGAGGTGCATGTTTATTTCACTGCTATGGGTTTCAAGTCAATTGGGACACAGGGCGACTGGAACACGACATCTCCCTCTTCCTGTGATGGATGTGGAAGACGGCTTTTTTTATTCTATTATATCTATCTCCATAAAAGGAGGAACAGTTTTATTGTGGCTGTCAGCCAGGAAAATTAGACATATTGCTAATAGGAAGACCCATGGCAGCGCCTCATGGTTGATATACATGGTGACAAAATTATATTAGTTGCAGCCCCAATAAACTGAGAAACATTTTCTTGTATAAGTAGTTCAAGAAACTGCAGATCAAAGTACAATTACTTTGTTGTTGCTGTGTCTGACTTAGCTTTCTGGTCCAAACATTAGAAAATTCCTTACATTTCCATTTCCCGTGTGTGTGTGTGTGTGTGTGTGTGTGTGTGTGTGTGTGAATACCAGGCCCTTAACATTACTCGCTGGAAATGTTTGATGATTTGGGCATATCAGTGTTTGATCCTGTTGTTAGATTATGAATTCCAAATGCAAGTTTCCATGTGGTAATTAAACACAATTCTAATCTTCCGTTTTTACAAATGGTTAAAGCTCATGCGAACAATTTATACCACGGAACCCTAATTATATATGACCAACTGATTGTATTCACATTACATGCCCACCACCTAGGGCAGTGGTTGGCAAACTGCGGCTCGCGAGCCACATGCAGCTCTTTGGCCCCTTGAGTGTGGCCCTTCCACAAAATACCACGTGCAGGCGCGCATGTACAGTGCGATTGAGACTTCGTGGCCCATGCGCAGAAGTTGGTATTTTGCGATTGAGACTTTGTGGCCCATGCGCAGAAGTCGGTATTTTGTGGAAGAGCCACACTCAAGGGGCCAAAGAGCCGCATGTGGGATTAATGATATGAGAAAAATACTGCAATGTCTCAAATTAAATTACAGCGGTGGAGAGTGAGAGGTAAGAGTGATGTAAGCAGTCAGTAGCTGTGGGCCAACTAACAACAGTCTGCTCACATTCCTGAATGGCTGTTGGAGCTTTGCATCAACTTCTATAGGGAACAAAGATGCCACCGCATCCTGTACGTGCACGAACTTTCAGGACTGCTGCCCGTACGTGATCAAAATTAGTAAATAGTTCATCTTTATGCACTGTGTACCCAGCCTTAGCCTAGAACTGTCTCTGCTTCACCGTGTCCTGGTCCTGCTCTGTAACCAATGTAAATTTTTTCAAAACAACTTATATCTTTCTTCCCCAAAACATGGGTGCAGAAGGTCGGGCCTACTCCCCCACAGCCCTGCTCTTGGTGGGTCGGACCGCACACCCCAGGCAGGACCTGGTTCTTTTTCTGGCAGCATTTGGCTCAATAACCCCTTTCTTTCAGAAAAGCTTAGGTAGATTGTCCCCTCTATCATAAAACGTCTATTTTGCATCTTGTTACTTTCTTTATTTTGTGACCTATTTTGTCAGATGAAAGTATGGCTACACCACTTTCCTCTGGTGTCGTTTGCTTGGAGAATCATTTCCCACCCTTTCACTTTGAGTCTTATTTGTCCTTGCAGCTGAGATGTGTCTCCGTAAGGTGGCACATGGTTGGGTTTTGTTTTTGATTCAATCCACTACTCTGTGCCTTTTTAATGCAATCCACATCAAAATCCCAATGTCATTTTTTAAAGAAATAGAACAAGATGTCATTAGATTTGTATGGAACCACAAAAGACCCCAAATAGCCAAAGCAATCCCGAGAACAAGGAACAAAGCCGGAGATGTCACGCCCTCTGACTTCAAATTATAAAACAAAGCAGCAATAATCAAAACAGCATGGTATTGGCAGAAAAACAAACACACAGACTAACGGAGCAGAATTGAGAACCCAGAAATAAACCCCCATATATATATAGGCAAATAATTTCTGATAAAAGAGTCAAAAATTTCTAATAGAGGGAAGAAAGCCTCTTTAATAAATGATGCTGGGAAAATTGGAAAGCCACGTGCAAAAGAATAAAACTAGGTTGCCATTTGTCACCATCTGCAAAAATGAACTCAAGATGGGTCAAAGACCAAAATATAAGACCTGAAACAATAAGTTACATAGAAGAAAACATAAGTACTAAACTTATGGACCTTGGTCTTAGTGAAAATTTTATGAATTTGATCCAAATGCAAGAGAATTAAAGGCAAAAATAAATGAAAGGGACTACATCAAATTAAAAAGCAAGAGAAACCATAATCAAGACCAAAAGGCAAACACCACCTCTGGTAAGCGGTTAACATCCAAAATATATAAAGAACTCATATAATTCAACAACAACAAAAAGAAACAATCCAATTAAAAAATGGGCAGAGGACCTGAACAGACACTTCTCCCAAGGACATACAGGGGGCCACAGGTGTATGAAAACATGCCCAACTTCATAGCTATTAGGGAAATATAAGTCAAAACCACAATGAGATACCACCTCACACCTGTTAGAATGATTATTGTTGTCAAGACAAATAATGACAAGTGTTGGAGAGGTTGTGGAGGAAAAGGAAACCTCATTCACTGCTGGTGGGAATGTAGATGGTACATCCACTATGACAAACAATGGAGAAGTTCCCTAAAAGATTAAGAATAGAGTTACCATATGACTCAGCAACCCCTCTTCTGGGTATCTACCTGGAAGATTTGAGAACATTTATTCATAAATATATATTTACTCCTATATTCATTGCAGCATTATTCATGGTGGCCAAAACATGGAAACAACCAAAGCGGCCTTTGATAGACGATTGGATAAAGAAGATGTGGTACATATATACAATGGAACACAACTCAGCCATAAGAAGATAAAATACTGTCATTTGCGACAACATGGATGAATCTTGAGGATATCATGCTAAGCAAAATCAGACAGAAAAAAGTCAATAACCATATGATTTCACTCATGCCTGGGATATAAAACTGAAAGCAACAAACAAACAAAAACTCACAGATACAGACAACAGTATGGTGGTTACCAGAGGGGAAGGGCATTGGGGGGAGGTAGAACAGGGTAAAGAAAGTCAAATATATGGTGACTCGACTTTGGGTGGTGAACACACAATGCACTATACAGATGATCTATTATAGAAATGTACACTTGAAACCTCAAAGATTTCACTAACCAATGTCACGCCAATAAATTCAATAAAATGTTTTTAAAAAAGCAAATCTTTGGGCTGTGAAATTTTTTTGTTTAACAAAGATGACCTCCCTTGCTGCTTAGGGCCGTGGAGAAGATGAGGAAGTTGTGAGGGCCAGGAGCTGAGTGCAGCTATAGCAGCTGAGGGAAGAGGAGAAAAAGACACGTCCTCTTGGGCCACCCTATTGTTGTTGTCTTTAAAACTCTCATCTGAGAGGGAAGGAGAGAGAGAGAGAGAGAGAGAGAGAGAGAGAGAGAGAGAGAGAGAGAGAGAGAGAGAGAGGCGGGGAGAGGGAGAGAGAAACACTGATGTGAGCAACATCAATCGGTTATCTTTCCTATGTGCCATCCAGGGATCAAATCCACAACCCAGGTATGTGCCCTGACTGAGAATTGAACCTGCAACAACCTTTCCATGCACAGGACGATGCTCAACCAATAGAGCCGCTCTGGCAGGGCGTCCTGGACCACCTTAGCCTTTCATACATCCAATGATCTTGGAACATGTTCAGTAAATGAAACTAACAAAGAATGCATACTTGGCTTTCTATCCCCAAATTCTGGGGTCCTTGGAGGACAGGTGTGAGGACTCTCACTTCTATGATAAGGACGCTGGGACTTGGGGACATTTCGCACCCTTTAATTTTCTGACTCCGGTGGGGTTAGTGGTTTAGTGTCTGTCCCTGGGCCGGATTGTAGGCAATCTGGCCTGAGGGCGGATCTCTCATTATCACAGGCGGCTGCAGCCCCGTTTAATGTGGTGCCTCACACAGAGATGGACCGGTGCCTGGTGCACAGCTGAGGTTGCAAACAGGCGTCAAGCCAAACTCTTGAAACCATCTCTTCTGCTTTCCAGGCTTGTCCTTGACACATATTTTCTTCCCTAAGAGCCTCAGTAATTTTCATAACTTCTTATTTGTCACTTTCAGCATCTCAGGAGCATTCCAGGATGTTATCTTTATTCATCTCCTTCTCTCGTTTCTCCTCCTTTTAAATTGCTGCTGGGAAAGGAAGTAGTACTTGGGTTTTAGTGCAGGATGGAGTGACGATGACAGGATATTTTTCCTGTATAAGAACTGTTTATACTGGTATAAAGAATATAGATTTCATTTTCTTTTTAATCCTCACCTGAGGATATTTTTTTCATTGACTTTTAGAGAGAGGGGAAGGGAAGGGGGGAGAGACACAGAGCGAGAAACATAGATGTGAGAGAGACACATGGACTGGTTGCCTCCCGCATGCCCCCCGACCAGGGCCAGGGGTTGGGCCTGCAACCGAGGTACATGCCCTTGACCGGATTCAAACCCAGGACCCTTCAGTCCGCGGGCGGACGTTTTATCCACTGAGCCAAACTGACTCGGGCAAGAATACAGCATTTCAGAGGAAAGAGCTTCTGGGAATGAATCACTATTATTCTTTGCCTGTTTTATCAAAACAAAAACTCTTCTTCCTGGTAGCATACAACCGCCAAGTCGCGAGTACAAAAGGCTCACTGATGCCGTTCACCTCCTTTCGGACATCCTGGCTGCAGCCCCCTGCTCGCGGTGGTTCTGGCTGTTCCGAAGTCCCCCCAGGCCCCGGGGGCCACTCAAGTTCAGCTGCACGTCCCTTTGAGAGGACACTTACCTGACAGGTCGCGGCAGGAATGGCCACTGCATCCCAGATGCACATCCCCTCCCCTGTGGGACTGCCCTTTCCCGCTGGCCCTCACCGTAGCCGCAGAGTCCACACTTACATGTCGTCGAAGACGAGTTTCTGCCTCTTGCAGTCCCGGTGGCCGCTGGAGCCCGGGGACCACGGCTCCGTCTGTGGCCGTGGCTTGTGGAGAACGCTTTCTGAGCTGTGGTGAGCTGCTTTCTAAACAACAAACAACACGCCGGTTCTGAGAAACTGGCCGCGTGGCTGAGAGAGCAACCCATCGCACAGAGTATCTTGTGTCCCGGACTCTGTTAGAATCGGTGTTCAGATTACAAACAGACTGCTTCTTATTCGCTGTCTGTAAGAATTTGTTTAAATGAAGAAAAAGAAATATGTGCATCCCAGTTCTCAAAAGGGGCTTTCAGATACAGGGTGGGGCAAAAGGTCTACAGTTGTTCATATGAAAAAAAGCCATGCAGGTAATGATTGTAATAATACAAGAATAAACCCCGTGTTTCGCACACCCACAACTGTAAACCCACTCTGCCCGCCCTGTATGCTGTGCAGTGTCATCTCACAACAGTATCATCGGAGAAGGCTTGGCGTGGCCTCTCACAGACCTGGGCCCTGCGGTTCGGTGAGTTCAAGTGACAGCCCGACCCCCAGTGCTGTGACCAAGGCCCAGGGCTAGCACTCGCCCTGCTCTCTTCCATTGGCGAGACCTGTGGTTCTCCAAGTTGACTCTGCATGAGCTCATTCTGTGCATAGCAGCACACAGACAGCGGCCCCCCCTCCGGAGCCTCCAGGTCCGTGGGTCAGGGGCGGAGCTTGAGAGCGGGCATCTCTAACAAGCCCCAGGTGCTACTGACCACTGAGCTGTAACCCACAATCCCTCGCAAAAGAGGTGTTCAGATTACAAACAGACTGCTTCTTATTCGCTGTCTGTAAGATTAGAAAAAGCCATAGGGAATTTCTAGAAATTATTTAAAATATGTTTTTAAAAGGAACACTATTGATTTGTGGAAAAATTTAAAAAATTATAACTCTTGGGGACACAAATATTTATAGAGCACCCATTGTGTGCATACACTTGGATCAGAAGGCAATTGCCTTTGGTTATGAAATTCAAATCAATTCCTCTGAAGTAATTAAAATAGAAGGTAGCCCGGCCAGTGTGGCTCAGTGGTTGAGCATCGACTTATGAACCAGGAGGTCATGGTTTGATTCCTGGTCAGGGCACAGGCCTGGGTTGTGGGCTCGATCCCCAGTAGAGGGCGTGCAGGAGGCAGCCAATCAATGATTCTCTTATTGCTATTTCTCTCTCCCTTCCTCTCTGAAATCAATAAAAAAATATTTAAAAATAGTAGAATGAAAAAAAAATGATAGAATGTATGCCAATGCTCCTTTCCGTGTGGACCGATTTTATGTGGGGATCAGCCTCCTGGCTGTAAGAGCCCCCGTGCATCTCCTTCTTGCAGGCGCGGTGGGAGCCGCGGATGCGTGGCCCTTGTCTAGGTCGCTCTCCCCAGCTGGACGGGAGGTTTCACGCAGGCTCAGGCTGAATCTGCTAGACTGTCCCTGCCTCTCTGCTGCTGGGCACAGTGCCCAGCACTCAGTGAGCACTTGCTCAATAACCATCTACTCAGGGAAAGAATGACTAAATAAAGTCTCTATGTTGTTGTTTTTTTTTCAAATTTCTGCACACCATACAATTTTTTGCTTGTGATATAAGGACCTAGAGGCAAAGAGAAGTTTTGTTTGTTTTTAAATTTGAATTGGTAGTTTTTTATTTCAGGTTTTCCTAATATGGTTTTCTCAGATTCTTATAGTTTAGAATTAAATATAATTGTTCCCAAATGAGGGTGCTTTAGAGGGTTAATTTCCTGATACAACGAGATTTAGGCTCTTGTAAGACCTTCTACTAACCCTTTGATCTCATTATGGGATAAAGCATTGAGTACTGCCTCCTCATCTCCTTGTCAGAGTCATATTCTCATATCTCCCTTCCCCCAGCCTCACAAAGCCCCACTGGTTTTGACAGGCACAGTGACGGAGAGAATGCAGTGGGAGATGTGGAATGAAATAATGTAGCCCAGCGGATGCGTGGTCCAGCGCCCAGCTGGGGGGCAGTACAGAGGAACTAGCTTGTAGTGTTAGTTGCACAGGTGTCCACAGGTGTTGGGTTCTTTAGATAACATCATCTCATTTAAATCTTATGATGCTGTTTTGCAAATGAAACAGGCTCAGAGAGATGAAGCAAGTGACCCAAGGCCACGTGCCCACTAATTATGAAGCTAGGTGGATGGTGCACCCCAACCCCCTGCCCTCCCCAGGGGAGTGTAGGGCACTGGAATCACCCCAGGAGGTCGCCTAAAGAGGGGTGGTGGGGGTCCCACACTGTGGCTGCTACACTGGTCACCCAGGTTGGAGGGGGAACCCCAACATTTTGGCCTGGGGTTTCCATTCCAGGCTTAGCTCTGTCCTGGGACAAGGAATCTTTTCAAATGAAAGGGTGGGTTGGTCCCAAACTCCCGATTTCCTTTGTCTCGTGATAGTATTACTCTGGGCTGTTCTTTTCGGAATGGGGAATGAAACCCCACAGGCTTGCTGAGCAGAGGGCTCCTCAGTTTCTCCTCCTGCAGTTGTCCCTGTGCCAAATCTTCCCAGAACAGCCTTAGGGATCCTTTCTGGAACCTCAAGTGTGTGTCCAGACCGTGCTGGGCTAAGACAGGTGGCGTGTCGGGGTGTGCTCAGCTCCATTTCACATTCAATGGGGACAGGAGGAGCAGCAACGTACCGTGAGGTCTGCGGCATGAGCCGGCAGCTGGCTCTCCGCCTTGAGCTTTTTGTTGGAGGCGGTGGAAGGGAACAAGCCACTGCCGCTGGACCTGCTGGAAGACGTCAAGTCCTCGCTGGAGTATTTGTGTTTAGAGGCGTCGGAGAGGGGTGAGATGGGCGACCGGAGCAGCTTTTCATTTTTATTGATGGGTATTGCCAAGCTGCAAAAGAAAATCACAGTAATGGAATGTCACAAGCCAGCACAGGGAGAAGTAAATGTCTTATATATGACCCAAGCCTCCTATTTAAAGCCTGCTGGCAGCAAGACGTTTATGGGGAATTATTATACCCGGAAACAATTTTATGGCATTAGGACCATAACAAACAATAAGCAAATTTCACTCATTGTTTCTTTACTTGTCCTACAGGATGAAGAGTAACTCTGGAGTTAAATAACTAAGAATAATAAGACTTTCATTTTCTAAGTTTTTCACCCATGGATCTCAAAATGCACAACCAACTTCTTCCTGTTTTCCTACTAAGTGTTAGCAGCAAGCAATGAGGTCAATCAAATGACACACTTGTTCCTACTTCTAAAAGGACTTTTGATAACAGCTGAGCTTATACTAATTATTTTATGGAGAATAACAGAATTACAGAATGACTTGCAAAGCAAGAAGCAACTTTCAATTGTTAGGTTTCCCAGCTAACCAGGCATTGATCAGAATGAACACAGGACAAAAAACTCATCAGAAGTGACATTTTTGAATTCTAGCTCCTGATTTTACCTTCAAAACTACAGTCTGGAACTCCCTCCCCGCTCCCCCCCCCACCCACACACACACAGACACACACAATTAACCATCAGAGAAGTTAGTCATTATCCTTGAATTATTGTTAGGACTCTCTCCATTACTTAATTTGAAAAAAAATTGGGAAAAGACACATGAGCTTGAAAGAAACTCAACCACTGCTAATTTGGGATACTTGTAGAAGTCCCCTGATAGAGTCAGTTAAAAAAAGAAAAGGTAAATTCATTTAACAAAATGTAGTCATTATTCCCACAGTTATAATTGTATGTGTTGGCTATCCCTGCAAACAAATCATTAAAGCCACTTCAAAAGAAATTTCCTTAGTTGGTGGTGACCATGTAGAAATAGCAAACACAGGCCTCAGATGACAAAGCCAAGGCTCTCGAGATTATGCAAATAGACATGTTTAGGGATAGAATATGTGGTGATCGATTTCTGGTTCAAAAAGCACTGGATGACTAACAGCTTAGCAGTGGGAAGGCACGTCTGAAAAACTGCCGTGGGCCAATCACAGTCACTGGGCTAGTGATGATGGAGGCGCTGACGGTGAAGATGGATGTGAACAGTCTGAATAGAACTGTTTCTTGACATGTGAGTGAAAAAAGTCCCATATCAAACTCTATCATTGTACATATATGTGATTTTAAATGTTCATGGAAAATTGGATCATTACACTGTACTATCATGGACATATGATTATTTCTTCTTTATCATTATAAGTTTATATAGTCAAGCTGACCAAAGAAACTTTCTTTGGATCTCCTTTTTGGGATGGGTGACCACTTTACATATGGGGTTGTCTTATCACACGGGTATAACTGACAGCAGTCAGCACCAACCCGGGGGTACCCAGACTGCCTTTCCTAGAAAGTACTCAAGGCACATTGCTATACACTGTGTCATCACTTAACATGAAACCACCGACAGGGCATGTGGAGAAGCATGGGACTTGGTTGGAAAGAATGTAAGGAGGATTCTCCGAAAGGTCGGGGGCCTCTGGGTGGACCCTGCCGAAGGCGGCAGCCCCTACCGTGACTTTTCCAAACAAGTCCGATCCTCAGGGTGTTTTGCTAGAATCTCTATGTTTGGTCTTTAGACATGAACCTTGTAGAAGCATATACTTTCTTTAAGGATGCTTACCCTGCTGATTGTATCTAGAGGTTAATTTTAGTTCAAGCTGTTGCTATAATAAAAACCTAAGGAGGCAGGCAATCAAGGCTTTTTTGATGCCTTATGCCAACTAGCCCCTTAGCTTCTCTTTCACAGAAATATGTGTCAGAGTAATCATTCATCCGTCGTTCAGGGTCTGCCGGTCAGCCCCGGCAGGGGCAGGCTCTGCCAGGCAAAGGCTTTACTGCAAGAGCTTATGAGTCCTGGGCTCCATGTAGGATGGAAGCGACACCCTCACTCTCAATAACCTCTCACTGAAATTGAGCATAATGAATACTGTTTATAATCATCACTACAATCATGGTAGTTACACATGTGCTAGAAAGGTTACTTATCCTGGTCAGGGTGGCTTAGTGGTTGAGTGTCAGTCAACCTATGAACCAGGAGGTCGCGGTTCAGCTCCTGTTCAGGGCACATGTCCAGGTTGCAGACTCGATCCCCAGTAGGGGGCATGCAGGAGGCAGCTGATCAAGGACTCTCTCTCATCATTGATGTTTCTATCTCTCTCTCCCTCTCCCTTCCTCACTGAAATCAATAACACAAATATATATATATATATATATATATATATATATATATATAATTTTAAAAGAAATTACTAATGCTAATGGACAAAGAATCAGATATCTATACTAATAAAAGGGGAATATGCTAATTAGACCAGGTCAACCGGCCATCTTCCAAATGTCCGAATTCCTTCCGGACAAAGCCATGGTGGTGGGGACTGAGGCAGAGGCAGTTAGGGGTGAGATCAGGTTGGCAGGGGAGGGCAGTTGGGGGTGAGATCAGATTGGCAGGGGAGGGCAGTTGGGGGTGAGATCAGGTTGGTAGGGGAGGGCAGTTGGGGGCAAGACAGGCAGGCAGGTGAGTGGTTAGGAGCCAGTGGTCCTGGATTGTGAGAGGGATGTCTGCACAGGGATTGGGCCTAAACTAGCAGTCGGACATCCCCCGAGGGGGTTCCAGATTGGAGAGGGTGCAGGCTGGACTGAGGGACAGCCCCTCCGTGCACGAATGTCATGCACTGTGCCTCTAGTATAACTATATGCACATTTGAAAGACGATTTGGAACCACATTGTCCCCATTAACTTTTTCCCAGTTATTTTGGGATACTGTCCACTCGGCACAGAATTTGTGGACAACGCCAGCTTGTGTGCAGCTCTCCCTCCTGCTCAGACCTTCACAAGCCCTGGCCCCTCCCAAGGTGGCTCTAACACGGCAGCGGGCCTGCTCACGCGCCTCGTTCTTGGCATGTTAGTGCCGCTCTCCATCTCCTCCTAACCTTTCTGCTTACAGTTTTATGTGTTGTGCTGCAGCATTCATCTCCCCTCACAAACGCTATGTTCGCAGCCAGGGAGAGTGAGGAGAGTCTTCGCAGAGGAAAAGTGGGTTCCGAGCTGTGCTATTTCGAAATGGCAAGAGCGTCTATGACTGATGAGGGGCTACTTGCTTGTGATGAATACCTGGGAGCTTGCCTTGCGAGAAAGACATTTGTCACACAGGGGACTCAGTGCAACGTGGGTCCATCGGGAACGCCTGTGGAGGCGTCACTCGGCGGCCGTTTAACCTTGGAGACACAGATTCTGTCCCACACCATGATTTTAGTCTGCATCTAAGAGCGTCAGGTGCGTCGTCTGGAGATTCAGCTCAAAATTTATATTTCTCCATTCGTGTAATAAGCGTAGTGTCCTAAGCTTAGCTACTAAAATCATGCTTTAAGAATCCAGTCATTAAGCTTTCAGAGGGAAGCGTGCAGAGCTGTGGACGTAGTAACTGGTCTTTTGTTAGAGAAGCACTTACACACCCCAAGCGGTGGCCTGAGGTGCACGTCTCAGTGTGATGAGGAGCCTGAGGCTGACCCGAGGAGAGCAGGCCCGGACACCCAGACCAGAGCAGTCACTGAAAAACCGGACTTTCCCAGGTGGCACATGACTTCAGCCCCAGAGACCCCACCAGCTCACCTCCGCCCCCGAGGGAACACACACCTGCTGACGTTCATGTTGCAAGGATTCGCAGACACAGTGTTACTGGCAGAGGCGGCCTGTCGGGAAGAGCTCTCTTTCTCTCCCTGGGCCTTCTTGACCTCCCGGTAGTCGTCTTCGTTGTCACACTGCGTGCAAATAAGCAGAAACCAATCAGCTGCGGCTTTTAAAGGATCGTAATGAGCTCCCATCGCCATCTTGCTCAGAGCAAGGCCTTGGAGACCAGCTCACTCGCCTCACTGGAAGGCATCTGAGCAGCAATGTGGTCCAAGCGCCCTGGCTCTGGCCTGGGGTCCCAGTCAGCGCCTCATCAAATAAGGATGAAACGGGTCAGTTTTACTATTGGCAGTTCAGTGAGAGGGAAAGCCCAGCATCCTGATAAAAATGCAGGACAAAACACTGTGAATGACGAAAACGGCTCTGCCCTCAATAGACCTGACTTAGCCTCCAGAGACCTACCCTGTCCACAGCCTCGGCACCTCTCCTCCTGGAATTTCTCAGCATCCGAACAGGGCACAGCAACCCGTTCTCAGTGCCAGGAGGGCAGTGACAAGCTCGACCCTTTCTTCTGAAATTCACAGCTTTTATGAATTTCAAGCAAAGGTGTTACCTCTTGGTGCCTTACTCCCAGTTCACAATGGCTCTCCCATGATACCGAGAACCTTTGAAGCACCTTTTTGTGAAATAGTCCTTGGATTCAAGTATGTTTCCTTGGTTGTGTGTAACATTAGACGTGTATTAGGGTGCCATGCAAATGCGCTCCAGCTCGGGTGCGGCAGTGGGAACACAGGGATGGCAAGTGCAGGGCCCTCGGCAGTGCTGTCCAAAAGACATTTTCTCTCTCGCTGGGATTGCCACAGCCTCTCTCATAAGGACCCCAAGGGCTCCACTGAAACAGCGGAGGATCCCCAGTCCTTGGCTCTGGGCTACAGCAGAGCTAGACTCTGCACCTTTGACAGCCTGGTCTACGGGGTCCCATTTCCTGCACCCAGTATTGGGGTCTTAACACCCAGATGCTGAGTAAAGAGCACTAACAAATGATCTTTCACTTCTCTGTGTCTGTGTTTAATAACCAGTCATTAGATTTTATGAGCTTGGTGTCAAGGCTTGGCATAAATGAAGTTTCATAAGTTAAAATTTAAAAGGGGTCATAAATAATAAAATTATTTAAATACAGAACATTCTGGAATTTATATATACTTATAGATATTTATATGTATGTCTTTCTGCACATCTCCTTCTCTATATCTATATATGCCTATACATGTATCTGTATTTCCAATCTATGTTTATCAATTTCTCTCTCTCTATGTTTCTTATATATCAGTGGTTCTCAACCTTGGCTGCACATTAGAATCACCTGGGAATCTTTTTAAAATCCTGATTTCTGGGCCTCATCCTCCAGAAATTCTGTTTCTTTGTTATGGGGTGAGGCCACAACATTAGTAACAAAGAAACAGAATTTCCGGAGGATGAGGCCCAGAAATCAGGATTTTAAAAAGATTCCCAGGTGATTCTAACGTGCAGCCAAGGTTGAGAACCACTGTTATATATCTTTGTGTCTCTCTTACCCAAGCCCTCTCTCTTTTCATTATTCTATCCATGTATCCATCAATCCTCAGGTGGTTAATTGATTGGTCAGTCAATTGATCACCTGAGGCCTGATAGATAGATCAATCCAAAAGTAATGAGGAGGGCAGGATATCTAGAGGAAAACAGGAAGAAAGAGGGTGAGGGAAAAAGTGGGTTAACCCATATTACTGAATTATATTGTTTGAACTTGACAGTGCCCTTGTAAAGGTGTCACCATTTTACAAATGAAGAAAGTGAAATAAAGAGAAGGCAAGGTCACCAGATTAAGGTGAGGACTACGTAATTTGCTGGTTCAGCACAAAATGAAAATGTTGGGCTCCTTGTTAAAAAAGCAAGAAAAGTTCCTTGTCTTGAAGATGATTTTTTTTTTTTACAACAAAAGCAAAAAATAAACAAGTGGGACTACATCAAACTACAAAGCTTCTGCAAAGACAAGAAAACCATCAACAAAATGAAAAGGTAACCTATTGAATGGGAGAAAATATTTGCAAACCATATATCTGATAAGGAGCCAATAACCCAAATATATAAAGAAGTCACAACTCAAAAGCGAAAAACCCAAAACAATCTGTTTAAAAAATGGGTAGAGACCTGAATAGACATTTCTCCAGAGAAGACATACAGATGGCCAACAGGTACATGACAAGGTGCTCAACATCACTAATGACCAGGGAAATGCAAATCAGACCACAGTGAGATATCACCTCACACCTGTTAGAATGGCTGTGATCAAAAAGACAAGAAACCAGCATTGGCGAGAACATGGAGAAAAGGGGACCCTCCTACACTGCCGGTGGGAATGGAAATTGGTGTAGCTACTATGAAAAACAGTATGGAGGTTCCTCAAAAAATTAAAAATAGAACTACCATGTAATCCAGCTATTCCGTTTCTGGGTATTCATTTGAAGAAAAAGAAAACACTAATTTAAAAAGATATGTATATTCCTTATACATGCTCACTGCAGCATTATTTACAACAGCCAAGATATAGGAACAACCTACAAATTCATCAATGAATAAATGGATAAAAAAATTATCCTATCTAATAAAAGGGCAATATGCAAATATTTTGTCTTTGTCACTCTGTCACAAAGATGGCAGCGCTCATAGCCACATGATGGCGGTGCCCAGTCCTCTCAGCCCCGCCAGAGTCCCCCAGTCTTGGGGGGTGGTGGGAGAGAGGCACGGCTGTTGAGAGCGGGCAGCGTGAGCAGCCTGGAGGAATGCTTGCTTCATTGCTGCAGCGTTCCACCCCAGCCACGGGCAGCGGGCACAGAGTGGCCGGGGTGCGGGGGAGAAAACACTTGCCCCCAGTGATGAGGCAAGCATTCCGCACCCGGCTGCAGAGGGCCTCTGGCCAGCCCGGGCACGGAACGCTTGCATCTTTGCAGGCTGGGCTGAGGGACCCCCCACCCCCACACATGAATTTTGTGCACCAGGCCTCTAATCTACACTAATAAAAGAGAAACATGGTAATTGGCATACGACCGCTACCCTTCCCATTGGCTAATCAGCGAGATATGCAAATTAACTGTCAGCCAAGATGGCGGCCAGCAGCCAGGCAGCTTGAAACTAACATGAGGCTTGCTTGCCTCAGTGACGGAGGAAACCAACGTTCCCCGCCTGCAGCTGCAGTCCTCTAAGCCTGCTGTTTCAAACACTGTAACAAATACTGCCGGACTTCAGCCAGCAGATTTGCAACATTGTAAGCAAAGGCCAGAAACCTACTTTCAGCCGAGGCCTAAGAGCTGGAGCCAAGCCTCAAAGCTAAAGCTGGCCCAGAATAAAAAAAGAAAAAAGAAAAAAAGGAGCGGTTGGGAACTTCCGTCACCCCCAGCCTGAAAACAGCCCTCAGCCCCTCACCCAGACTGGCCAGGCACCCCAGTGGGGACCCCCACCCTGATCCAGGACACCCTTCATGGCAAACCATCCGTCCCCACCCATGCACCAGGCCTCTATCCTATATAGTAAAAGGGTAATATGCCTCCCAGCACCGGGATCAGCGTGACAGGGGGCAGCGCCCAAACCCCCTGATCGCCCTGCGGCTCTGTGTGTGACAGGGGGCGGGGCCCCAACCCCCTGAGCAGCCCTGCTCTGTGCCTGATAGGGGGGAGCTCCCCAACCCCCCCCCCCCACCCTGGGCCCTGCTCTGTGTGTGATGGGGTAGAGCCATAACCTCCCCATCGGCCCTGCCCTGAGTGTGAGAGTGGCGGCACCCCAACCCCCTGATCGGCCCTGCTCTGTGGGTGATAGAGGGCGGTGCCCCAATCCCCTGATGGGCCCTGCTCTGTGTGTGACGGGGGGGGCGCTCCCCCCCCCCCACGGGCCCTGCTCTGTGTGTGATGGGGTAGAGCCATAACCTGCCCTGAATGTGAGAGTGGCGGTGCCCCAACCCCCTGATGGGCCCTGCTCTGTGTGTGACGGGGGCAGCACCCCAACCCCCTGATTGGCCCTGCTCTGTGCGTGACAGGGGATGGAGCCGCAACCTCCCCATCGACCCTGCCTTGAGTGTGACAGGGGACGGTGCCCCAACCCCCCAATCGGCCCTACCCTGAGTGTGACTGAGGGTGGCATCACAACCTCCCAATCTTCCCTGCTCTGTGCATGATGGGGCAGTGCCCCAACTCCCCAATGGGCCCTGCTCTGAGCCCGACCAGGGGCTGCACCTAGGGATTGGGCCTGCCCTCTGCCACCCAGGAGCAGGCCTAAGCCAGCAGGTCGTTATCTCCCGAGGGGTCCCAGACTGTGAGAGGGCACAGGCCGGGCTGAGAGACCCCCCTCCCCCCCGAGTGCACAAATTTTTGTGCACCGGGCCTCTAGTATCTATATAATATATATTCACACATATATACACATGATACAAACAATGGAATATTATTCAGCCATAAAAAATAAAATCTTGCCAAAATAGATGAAGGTTGAGGGTGTTATAAGTGAAATAAGTCAGACAGAAAAACCATAAATACTATATAATCTCACTTATATGTGAACTCCATAAAACAACAAAAAACCCCTAAATAAATCCCCAAGCTTATGTACCTAGAGAACAGACTGGTGGTTGTTGAGAGGTCTGAGGGTTTTGGGGGGAAAGTGGAAGAATACATGAAGGGGATCAAAAGGTACAAATTTCCATTTACATAATAAAAAAGTCCCGGGATGTAATATACAGCATGGAGACTATTGCATATTTGAAAGTAGACAGGAGAGTAGAACTTGAAAGTTCTCATCAGGAGAAATGAAATTTGTAATTATGTATGATGATGGATGTTAATTGGACTTATTGTGGTGACCATTTCACAATATACACAAATATAGAATCATCACACTGTATACTAGAAACTAATGCAAGTTATATCAATTTTACTGCAATTTTTTTTAAAGCAGGAAGAGCAATGTAGAAAGTACTAAAGTAGAAAACATTTCCTGTTTCTCAATGTCTCCCTCTTTTTTTTTTTAATATATTTTTTATTGATTAAGATATTACATATGTGTCCTTGTCCCCACGTTACCCTCTACCCCCCACCCCCCCCACCCCCGCTCATGCCCTCACCCCCCCGTTGTCCATGTCCATTGGTTAGGCCTATATGCTTGCATATAAGTCCTTTGGTTGATCTTTCCCCCTTACCCCCACCCTCCCCTACCTTCCCTCCAAGTCCCGACAGTCCAATCAATGCCTCTCCGTCTCTGGATCAGTCCTTGTTCATCAGCTTATGTTGTTCATTAAATTCCACAAATGAGTGAGATCCTGTGGTATTTATCCGCTCTCAAGTTCCATCCATGCTGTGGCAAATGGTAAGAGTTCCTTTTTCTTCTTCCTCTTCTTAAAGAATACCTTTCAGCATTTCAGATAATGCTGGTTTGGTGGTGATGAACTCCTTTAGCTTTTTCTTATCCGTGAAGCTCTTTATCTGACCTTCTATTCTGAATGATAGCTTTGCTGGATAAAGTAATCTTGGTTGCAGGTTCTTGCTATTCATCACTTTGAATATTTCTTGCCAGTCTCTTCTGGCCTGCATGGTTTCTGTTGAGAAATCAGCTGACAGTCGTATGGGTACTCCCTTGTAGGTAACTGACTGTCTTTCTCTTGCTGCTTTTAAGATTCTCTCTTTATCTTTTGCTCTTGGCATTTTAATTATGATGTGTCTTGGTGTGGTCCTCCTTGGATTCCTTTTGTTTGGGGTTCTCTGCGCTTCCTGGACTTGTAAGTCCATTTCTTTCACCAGGTAGGGGAAGTTTTCTGTCATTATTTCTTCAAAAAGGTTTTCAATATCTTGCCCTCTCTCTCCTTCTGGTACCCCTATAATTCTGATGTTGGTACGCTTAAAGTTGTCCCAGAGGTTCCTTACACTATCTTCATATTTTTGGAATCTCTTTTCTTTTTTCTTTTTCGGTTGGGTATTTTTTGTTTCTTTGTATTTCAAATCTTTGACTTGATTCTTGGGATCCTCTTTTCTGCTGCTGGATCTCTGTAAATTATTCTTTATTTCAGTCAGTGTATGCTTAATTTCTAGTTGGTCCTTTTTCATGTCCTCCATGGTCTCACTATACTTATTGAGGGATTCATTAAATTTATCGGCGGTTTCCATAAAATTCTTGAAAAACCTTATAAACGTGGCCTTGAACTCTATATCCAATCGTTTGCTTTCCTCCATTTCTGCCATTTGTGACCTGTTTCTTTGTCTCCGCATTTTGGCAGCTTCCCTGTGTTGATAGAGTGGCCCTGTGCGCCAGGTGTCCTGTAGGGCCCAGTAGCTCAGCCTCCCCAGTTACCTGGGGTGGACACTCTTGGTGCACTCTTGGTGCCTTGGTTGTTGTAGAATCACTGGGAGGAATTGACCTCCAGGCCAATTGGCTGTGAGAATCAGCTGTGTCTAAAGTGGGAGAACTTCTGTGCTGAAGACACCCTTCTGGGGCAAGACTTGCTTCAGTGGGGCTTTGGTGCTCACTGAGTCTGCTCCCTGAGTGCGTCCCTTATGGATCTGAGGAGTTGCAGTCTGGATGGACCCCCTCTGACCACTGGGTACAGTGGCTCCTGGATCTAAGGAGGTGCTAATTCAGCCTCTGCCTGAGGCCACACAGCAGGAGCCACGAAGAGGCTCAGCTGTGAAGCAATGCAAGCCGCTGCGGGGCCTTGGGCCTTCTCTTGGAAGTTCCAGGTCTGCCTGGTTCGGCTGCAGTTAGGTACATTCACATGCAAAAGCCTCTGCCGCAGCCTGGGTGGGGTGGGGTCTCAGGGAGTCAGAGGGCGGAGAAAGCGGCCATGGCCGATTCTCAGCCCGGAGTCGCGCGTCTCAGTGTTCCGGTAACGGCTGCAAGCACCTCTGAGGGAAAGCCACCCTCAAGTTCGCTCGCTGCCGGACAGACCAGCTTCTCCCCGTATGAGACCTGGGTCCCCAGAGACTTCCCGGAACCGGAGTTCAGAGCCGTCGGGAGTTTGTGATTCAAAAAGACAGCCGCGTCCTCAGGCGCCACCCCTTTTCCTCGCGCGTGCGCGCGCGCCGCCGTACCTCTGCACTTCACCTCCGCAGCGCCTCTGGCTCTCAGTGTGCTTTTCTTTCCTTCTAGTTGTGGAATTTACACTCAGCCAGCCTTCCTGTTGTTCTGGATGATGTTTGCTCAGTCCTTTGCGGTAATTTTCAATTGTTGTGTGAGGCGATAATTTCCCGGTGTTTACCTATGCCGCCATCTTAGTTGCTCTCCTCAATGTCTCCCTCTTGATCTGCCACGGTGGTGTTTACTTGCGACTGTGGTCCTTAAGGCGTTGGCATACTTGGGAGGGGGGAGTGTAGACGCTCTAGTGCCCAGGATCCTGTCTGGCGACTGGGTGCATGCACACACCCCACAGCAAAGGATTTCCACTGCCTGCCAGTGGTGGGCCCACCTGTTGAGGGTAGAAAGTCCAAGGGAGCATTTCCCCTTTCCCTGGTCCCCACAACCCAAGGAATCTGGCAACCCTTAGGGGATTGCAGTCTCCTTTCCAGGAATACTCAGAACAGGACAGGTCTTCTCTGGACCTCACATGCTCTACTGTTCTATCACACTTCACTTACAGAGCACAAAATCAAAGAGAAAATGAAGACTATGAAGATGACCACCACCAGCATTAAACTCCAAGCCCAAGCCCTTCTGAGCAGGGAAAGTACTGCACAAACCTAAGACTGCCTTCTATTGGGAGACCTGAGCCAGACAGCCTAGGCTCACTCCTGCTCTGCCCTTATCACCTAGGGATCCCAGGCAAGTTGCTTTAAGCTCCTGAGCCTCAGTTTTCTCATCTGGAAAATGGGCATGACAATGATATTTGCCTCATAAAGTTATAAGGACTCAATGGTTTAATATACACAAAGTGCTGCGTCCCTCAGGAGGATAAGCATAAGTGTCAACTATTGTTAAGGACTTTGTCCGAACTTTGGAACCATCCATGACTACTGCAATCTTTGGTTTGTCACCCATTGTGTTTTTCACTGTGGTCCAAGTTACTTTTGAAGACACAGTAACAGGAGGGGACAATAATCCTCAAAATTGGCTTTAATTTCTGACTGGGTTATTTCCATGCTGAAAAGTCTTCGAAAACTGCTGAGCATCTGGGTCAGCTTCCAGATGTATTTCCAGCCTCCCGTCCTTGCACTGCCTTTCTCGCGCCTACGCTTCCCTGGTTTACCCGTTCCCCTTTCGGTGCCGCTTCCACCCTGACCCTCTGATCGCAGTCACGTGCCACATAATGACATTTTATTTATTTATTTATTTATTTATTTATTATGTATTTATTTATTTATTTATTTATTTATTTATTTATTTTTCATAATGACATTTTAGTCAATGATGGACTGCCTACAGGACAGTGGTCCCATAAGACTGTAATGGAGGCCGGCCGGTGTGCTCAGTGGATTGAGTGTCATCCCATGCACCAAGAGGTTGCTGATTTGATTCCTCGTCAGGGCACATGCCTGGTTGTGGGTTCGATCCCCAGTAGGGGCGTGCAGGAGGCAGCAGATCAATGTTTCTATCTTCCTCTCTCTCTCAAATCAATAAAAACATATTAAATTTTTTAAAAAAATCATAATGGAGCTGAAACATTCCTATTGCTTTGTGATTCTGTGGCCGTCCTAACATCACAGCGCCATGCATCACTCACGTGTTGGCGGTGAGGCGGTGCAAACCAAGCAGCTGCACTGCCGTTGTATGACAGTACAGCACATACAACTATGCACAGTTCGTAATACTTGATAATGATAACACACAACTATGTTACTGATCTATGTATTTGCTATGCTTTTTACCATTATTTGTGTATTCTTGATACTTATGAAATTTTTTTTCTGTACAATAGTATGTCTTCTTATGTTAGCAACAGCCTCATACGTCTCCTGTTTACCTGCCTCTTTTCTCTTGTGCTTGATTTAATGTCATGTTGTTTTCTACAGTAACATGCTCTGCAGGCTGGTAGCCCAAGAGCAATAGGCTATCCCATACAGCCTGTCCCATACAGCCTGTCCCATACAGCCTGTCCCATACAGCCTGTCCCATACAGCCTAGGTGAGTAAGAGTTTAGACCATCTAGGTTTGTGTAACTGCACTCAGTGAGGTTTGATCAAACACAAAGTCACCAACAAGGCACTTCTCAGAGCAAATCCCAGTCATTAAAGGGCACACTGTACCTCCCTCCTCCTCAGGGCCCTGTCCCAGCCCCTCTCCACCACCAAGCTCCTGATCAACACGATGAGGCTGGTGCTCCTCCCACAGGGCCGTCCTCCCACTGCCTGGCTTTGTGCACTTGTCTTCAGGCTTGACCCAGTCACAGCCTTACATTTTGCTGGCTCCTCAGTCAGCGAGTGACCCCACGGTTGATGTCACTGCACCCCTCCCAGCAAAGAATGGGGTTCACTAACCAGTGGTTACCTTTCTACAGGCCCAGCTGGCCTCGCACACACTTGATCAAGACTTCCTGTATGCTTACTTCAACACGCAGCGGACAGGGCTGTTACCAGACCTGTAAAATGGGAATTATAATGGTACCCCTGCACTGGGTGGCTGTAAGGTTTTAACTGAGTGACTGTGTGTCAACCATGTGCGACAGCATCGGGCATGTGTCAAGTGCCATGTGAATGTCTGCTGAGTGAAGACACACAGAACTGCTGCTGCCTCCCAATCCAGACCAGCAGCTGCTTGTGCTGTCACCTCACCCACAAGTTAAGGGGCAGCCCTCCTTCCCCAGTCCCGCAGCCCCATGCCTACCTTGCGTTTCCTCTTGGATTTGGGCAAAGCCTTTTCTACGGGTGTGTCGGATGGGTGGCTTGGAGGTGCGCTCTCAGCGTCCTTGGCTGCAGGCGTGCTGAGGGCCGCGGCCTCCTGGGGCAAGTGTTCTGGGATCCGGGACAGGAGGGTCAGGTCAATTTTGACCCAGAGAGACCTGACCTCGTCACTGTCCTTCAGGGGGGAGAGGAGTTCGTTGCGGCCGAAGGGGACCAGCGTGTAGAACTGCTCCTCCAGCTCCTTGGCGATGTCGCTGGTGGTCCTGGCGTTGATGGAGCCCACGGGTGCGCGGGGCCCGCCGCCGCTGCTGATGCTGCCGGCGGCCTCCTTGAGCCTCTGGTCACTTGCAGAGGCGGCGGCCACGGCCGGCGCTTTGGCCAGAGGGTACTCCTCCTGCTCCGACTCCAGGTCGGAGTCCGAGGAGGAGGACGAAGATGAGGACTCTGTCTCGATGAACTCCTTGGACTTGGGGACGATCCTGCTCAGGCCCCGCGTGCGGCGCTTCTCGCAGGTGACCGAGGCGCGCAGCTCCTTGCGGTGGCTCGTCCTGCTGTTGGCACAGGGCCTGGCTTTGGTGGGCTCCGGAGGGATGGGAGGGATCGTGGCGCTCGCCCCCAGCGCGTCCGCGGGCTCCTCCGGCCGCTGGCAGTTAGCGCTCTCGCCGGCAGAGGTCCTCTCGGTGCGCCTGGGGGGCTTCTTGCCCGCAGACCTCCGCGTGGGAGCGGGCGCGCTCTCCAGGGGCGCACCAGGGAGCGGCGGCGGCGGGGCGGCTGCGGTCACGGCCACGGCCACAGCCGCAGGCGGGGACTTCTGCTTCACCCCCTTGGTCCCCGGGGCCTTGTTGGCTGTCCTTGGCCTCTGCTCTTCCTTGCAGGCGCTCTTGACGTCCTTCTCCCTCAGGCCGGCCTGGCACCCGTCGGCGAGTTTCCCGCAGTCCTGCGCGGGGTCCTTCCCGGGGGCATAGTACTGACTGCTCTCCAGGCCGTGGCTTTCATTCTGGATCAGAATAGGCGGCTTGTGGGGATTAACTTTGTTTAGCCATTTATCCAGCTGCCACTTGTTAGAGGATGCAGGCTCGGCCTAAAAGCAACAAACAAAACATCCTTTATTACAGACCTACTCAAAGGCGCCCGGCTGTTTCATCTTCACTTACTCCTCTAGGTGTACGAGCAGAAAGCAGTGGGGGGCGGGGCGGGGGGGGGGGGCGGGGGGAGCAGGGGCACAGCCGCGGGGGCAGCTCTCAGTCGGCACCTGGATGCAGGGTGGCGTCCCTTTCCTGTCCCAGGTCGCTGAAATGTCAGGGCAGTACTTTGAAGCCAATTAGAAAAAATTTAGGGATAGTACGGTGCTTCATTAGAAGCCATTTCCAACACCTTTGCCTGTTACACAATGTGTATCTTTTATAATTACACACACACACACACACACATGAGATTCTGTGAAAGTTAACTGGGGAGCGGTCTGGAGGCCAAGTGTTAAAGTGCCTAGTTTCTGTAAGACTTAAATGACATTAATATGAGGGGGCTACGTGGAGACTATAGTCCCAAAGAAGGGACATAGCATTCATGCGGTGAAGGCAAGCAGGGCAGTTACCAGCAGAGGCAGCAGCTTGGGGCAGATGGCCTGGCTAGGGGTGCAGAACTCCCACTGAGCAGCCGCAGGTGTCCCGTGAGCTCTGACGGCGGGACTTGGTTAACCCATCCCTAACCTGCTCCCACCCACTTTGCCAGAAATGTTTCAGACATGAAAGTGATCATGGGAAGTCTTTCCTGTGAGCGATTAGTTTAGAGCAGGGTCCTCAAACTTTTTAAACAGGGGGCCAGTTCACTGTCCCTCAGACCGTTGGAGGGCCGGACTATAGTTTAAAAAAAAAACTATGAACAAATTCCTATGCACACTGCACATATCTTATTTTGAAGTAAAAAAACAAAACGGGAACAAATATAATATTTGTATTTGCATGTGGCCCGTGGGCCGTAGTTTGAGGATCCCTGGTTTAGAGCAAATCATGGGTATTCCAGGTTTTAAACTCTGCCCCATAGACCCGTTCTGGGGTCAGTGAAAGCCTGGCACAGAATGTGAAATCTTCAGAGACGCCATAACAAAGAAACAGAATTTCCGGAGGATGAGGCCCAGAAATCAGGATTTTAAAAAGATTCCTAGACGATTAATGTGCAGCCAAGGTTGAGAACCACTGCCCTCTTGGCAAAGGCGTCTCTGAAGATTTCACATTCTGTGCCAGGCTTTCACTGACCCCAGAACGGGTCTATGGGGCAGAGTTTAAAACCTGGAATACCCATGATTTGCTCTAAACCACTGGCCTAGGGGAAGGCCTTAATTCTCTGTCCCACAAAAAGGTGAAGAGCCGAGGACCTGCTTGATCGGTTGATTTCTAATGAAGTCCATTGATCCATCGTCTATGATTAATAGAAAGGAGGTATATTGGTAAGTGTAGAACTCCAAACAGAGTGTTTGCAGTTTGTGACCATACGTGAGAAGGAGAAAATATGTGAGTTAGGTGACGTCTTTTTCCTTCCCTACAGCCTCCCAGCCTCTGATCGTGGCATCTGCTGTTTCAGGGGAGACCAGAGACCAGCCTAGAAGAAAGAAGACATTGCTTGGCGTTGCCTTTCGAACATGACTGGTTAAAGTCCAGAGCAAGTCAGCCTCTCTCGTAGGAGAACACATTTTCTTTAACACAATAATTTCGTGTATCAAGATTCGTTTTTCAATAGTGGGCTCCACATGAGGAAGAACTCGGGGCACAAACCCTTGAGGAGCGTGAAGGGAAGGAGGGGCCTGGCTGCGTCTGGGGGAGTCTGGGGCCGTAACTCGGGAAGCTGGGAGCTTCTGAGGGGCCACGGGGCCTGGGGCCAAGGTGAGGGACACAGAGCGTGGGAACCAGGCACCGAGCCCTGGCAGGGACCAGGGACGTCCTGCTGCTGGTCCCTGTGTCCAGTGGGCCCAGCGTGAGCATCCGAGGCCTTTGCCCTGGGCTGTTGGGTGGCGAGGCTTCCCCCTGGGACACAGATGTGGGAGGAGGAACCCTTGTGGCCCTGATTGAGGGGTGGGGTGTCAGGTCTTTGCTTTGTTTGTTTTCATGCACCAAAAGCAAGACACGAAAGAACACAAATATCTTTTTGGCGGCCTCGAGTGGTAACACGGCAATTCCGACCTCGCTTTACTTGGCTTCTCGGAGAGGAGCCCACAGAACGCAGGAGCACACCCCGTGCACACTCACTGCCATGCAGAGCGCCCCTCGGGGAGCGGGCAGGCACAGGCAGCTGCTCCACAGGGGAAGCTGTCACCTTCCCTGAGAACGAGCTGAGTGTGGCTGAGAGCTAATTTGGTGGCAAACCATTTACGGCTCCTGTTACTGTCTCCTCCCACCCCCATTGCTCTCACTGTTTCAGTGACGTGTGTGCCTCAGCTTCCCTAGACCAGTGGTTGGCAAACTCTTTAGTCAACAGAGCCAAATACGGTGGGGCCTTGACTTAGGAGTTTAATTCGTTCCGAGACCGAGCTCGTTAACTCAAATTACTCTGTCAACTCAATGCAAAAAATCGGCCGAGAGACAGCTGGTATCTCAAAAAACTCGTTAGTCGGGACACTCGTAAGTCAAGGCCCCACTGTATCAACAGTACCATTGAAATTTCTTTTGAGAGCCAAATTTTTTAAACTTAAACTATATAGGTAGGTACATTGTTATTAACTTAATTAGGGTACTCCTAAGGCTTAGGGAGAGCCACACTCAAGGGGCCAAAGAACCGCATGTAGCTCGTGAGCCGCAGGTTGCCGACCACGGCCTTAGACAAATGGGGCGCAGGAAATATGGATGCGGGCAGAGGGGCCTCTTGCAGAAAAGGGACACATATGGGCAGGGGGGCCAACACTGTGGCAGAGCATGCCCCTCACGCTGGCCCCACCCCACGTTAACACTCCTTCCCTGCCCCCACCATCCTGAGCCTCCCACAGCTCACACCTCCCAGCACTTCTGCAGGGCACTCACAGTGAAGTGAGAGTTAGTACATTTAATATGCGCCTGCTGCCTCATGTGCTTTGGGGTCATTTTTTTCCCCACGTCACAGCTGAAGAAATTGGTCTGAAGTACCATCTACACCACTAAATCACGCTTCCTCCTGCCTCTCAAAGGGAATCCAAATTTCTGGGGCTGGTGTTCAGGACATCCATCACTTTCCAGTCATCCTTCGTTGCTGGAACATCTACAGTGTGCCTCCCGCTTCACATGTGCCATCTGATTTAATCCGTACAGATAAGAAATATCACCGCTAATTTATGGATGCGAATCAGAGAGGTTAAGTGACATGTCAAAGCTGCACAGCTACCAGGCACCCTGAGACTAAACACATACCGGTTTAGGCTTAAAGACCAGGGTCTCTCCCCGGCTGCCTCGCCTAATCTCCCATTCCCCCCGCATAGCTTCAAGAAAGAGGGACCTCATTCCCTGGAGAAATGTGGGTCTTCAACCTAAAATGAGAGAGTCAGGTCTGATTTTGGAGAACACCACTCACTCTCCAAACCAGGGGTCCTCAAACTTTTTAAACAGGGGGCCAGTTCACTGTCCCTCAGACCGTTGGAGGGCCGGACTATAGTTAAAAAAAAAAACAAAACTATGAACAAATTCCTTTGCACACTGCACATATCTTATTTTGAAGTAAAAAAACAAAATGGGAACAAATACAATATTTGTATTTGCATGTGGCCTGCGGGCCGTAGTTTGAGGACCCCTGAATGTTGGTGCCTCCTGCTAACCTCCACTGCACGGCCTTTTGATGCTCATGTTCGTTTCATGTGTACCTGTGCCTTCAACAAAGCCCAGCCCTCATGTCAGGCAGGAGCCAGGTCTCGGCTTCGGCGTGTCCCTTGCAGCGTCTGCACCAGTTAGGGAGGCAGGCTGCTGTGGCTGCTCCTGAGAACAATGCTCCCTGGCTGCCCCTCAACTCCTACTCTCAGTCCTTGGAGCGGCCATTCCGGGGGCCAGGCAGTTGTGGCCCCGGAAGCTTAGCTGTGAAGACTTCGTGGCTGTGAAAGAGGACCCAGGGTGGGACTCGTGCACTGGCATGCAGCCGGGATGGCCGCCTTCCTGAGCCACCCCAGGGCTTCTGCCCATGTTTTCTTTGCTTGCTCACTGCTTTCTATTTTCAGCCACGATTCTCCTCCCTGGTTGATTCTCCTCCCTGGTGAACCTTCTCTCCCACTCATGCCTAAGCCTCCACCGAGCACTGCAGTCCCTGCTCCATCGGACTCCTTCCTAGCACCCCCTGCCGTGCATCCCACAGACACCTCGCTAAGGGGAAGCTAGTTCAATCAACGAATACCTTGCATCACATTTCTGATGATTTTCAAGGACAACCCCGGGCAGCATTTCCCACAGGTGCTTTTAGTTCATGGAGTCCACGGAAAGGTTTCCATGTCAGATAAGTCTGGGGAATGTGCAATGGAAAACAGTTTCCATGAGCAATACCATGGGCTGGGTGGAGTCCTGGGGTAAGTGATGGTTACACCGACAATCCTGGCCTTCCATGTATCCATGTGGCAGGGTCTGGGAGCTCTCTGTCGGGGTACACTCTGCTCACTGAGGGGGAGTCACTGTCCCCTGGAAAGCTCTGACATGAAAGGGTATATCATGCCAGAAAAGAAGATGAAACTCAAGCGACACAAATTAGACTGAGAACACTCAGCGAACATCAGGCCACAGGGAGGTCACTGAAGGGTGGGCTAGTGTTTGCAGTGGCCACTCTGTGCCAGCGTCGGGACAAGGCGTATATGATGGTGAGTCTGTTCAATGCAGTGTCTCTACAAGCCCGGTTATGGAGGGCAGTGCAGAGGGAAATCAGTTGAGCCCCCTGGGTTCTGGTGCTGGCCACTGAGGGGAGAACGCGGGTCCTTGGAACGTCATGAGGGCCTCCTCTCCTCCGCACATGCCAGGCTGTTACGGTGACTAACCCGCTCTTGCCACTTCCATGGCCTCTCTGCACCCAGAAGCAAGGTGCTGAAAGCTGTGAAAGGCCCCAGGCAGCTTGGCTCCAGGCCTGCTCGCCAGAGCCAGGGCCTCTGAGAAATGCTGGGAGAAACGACAAGAGCTTCCTTTCCTCACCAAGGAGTTCAAACCTGTGATCATCTCAGGGACATTCAGAAAGAACTTGCTTAGAGTGCCTAAGAACTTACTTGGAAAACTACAGGACATTGAAAAAAGAGATAGAGGAAGACATAAACAAATGGAAGAATATACCGTGCTCATGGATTGGTAGGATCAACATCATTAAAATGTCCATACTACTCAAAGCAATCTACAGATTCAATGCAATCCCCATTAAAATACCAACGGCATACTTCAAAGATCTAGAACAAACTCTCCAAGAATTTATCGGGAATACAAAAGACCCCAAATAGCCACAGCAATCCTGAGAAAGAACAATGTAGGAGGGATCGCAATACCAGATAGCAAGCTATATTACCAAGCCACGGTTCTCAAAACTGCCTGGTACTGGCACCAGAACAAACATATAGACCAAAGGAACAGAACAGAGAAACCAGAAATTGACCCAAGCCACTATGCTCAACTAATATTTGACAAAGGAGGCAAGAGCATACAATGGAGTCAAGACAGTCTCTTCAATAAATGGTGCTGGGAAATTTGGTCAGATACATGCAAAAAAATGAAACTAGATCACCAACTTACACCATACACAAAAACAAACTCAAAATGGATAAAGGACTTAAATGTAAGACGGGAAACCATAAAAACCTTAGAAGATTCCATAGGTAGCAAAATAGCAGACATATGTCATAGCAATATCTTCAGTGATACAGCTCCAAGGGCAATGGAGACTAAGGAGAAAATAAACGAATTGGACTACATCAAAATAAAAAGCTTCTGCACAGCAAAAGAAATCATCAACAAAACAACAAGAAAACCCACTGCATGGGAGAACATGTTTGCTAATGCTATTTCAGATAAGGGTTTAATCTCCAAAATGCACAGAGAACTCACAACTTAAAAGGAAGATAATCCGATCAAAAAATGGGAAAAGGACCTAAATAGACACTTTTTGAAAGAGGACATACATAAGGCTGAGAGACATATGAAAACATGCTCTAAGTCACTAATCATCCAAGAGATGCAAATCAAAACAACAATGAGATACCATTTCCTACCTGTCAGAATGGCTATCATCAACAAATCAACTAATGACAAATGCTGGCGAGGATGTGGAGAAAAAGGAACCCTCATACACTGCTGGTGGCAATGCAGACTGGTGCAGCCACTGTGGAGAACAGTATGGAGTTTCCTCAAAAAATTAAAAATGGCACTCCCATTTGACTCAGTAATCCCACTACTAGGACTATATCCCAAGAAACCAGAAACACCAATCAGAAAGGATATATGCACCTCTATGTTAATAGCAGCACAATTTACAATAGTTAAGATTTGGAAACAGTCTAAGAGCCCATCAGCAGGTGAATGGATTAAAAAACTGTGGTACATCTGCACAATGGAATACTATGCTGCTATAAAAAAGAAGGAACTTTTACCATTTGCAACAACATGGATGGACCTGGAGAGCATTATGCTAAGCAAAATAAGTCAGTCAGAGAAAGATAAATATTACATGATCTCACTCATATGTGGGATATAATGAACAACAAAAACTGATAAACAAAAATAGATCCAGAGACAAATGGCAAGGGAGGGGGAGGTTAGAGATCAACCAGAGGACTTGTATGCATGAATATTAGCATAACCAATGGACACAGACACGGGGGTGGTGGGGGCTTGCCCTCAGGGGTGCGAGTGGCGGCGAGGGGGGGTGGTCAATTGGGGAAAAAGGAGATAGAGGTAAAACTTTAAACAACAAAAATTTTTTTTTTAAAAAAGTGCCTAAGAACTGCACTTCTCCTAGGCTGGGCTTTGGCATCACTCATGAGAATGAGACTCAACTGCTCATGGGCTTAAGCTTCAAAGTCACAGAGAAGAGCCTGGACAGGGGTCATCACAGACACTAATGCTTTTTACCCACTCCACTGCCCCCTTGGCTCCTGTACTGTCCTGGAACCCAGTTATTTCTTATAGCTAATACTCTTCTGGAGTTTCTCAACAAATTAAAGCATAACTTTGGCTTTGAAGAAGTCTGTCTAAACTTCTTTACTTTATTGAACTCCTGTATTTTTTTTGTTTCATATTATTGCCATTATCAGCCTAGCTCTGATAAGGCAGGGACATGCCAGATAATTGCTGTATCCCAGAGCAAAGCACCAGGTCTGGGGCACATGCTTGATAAGTATTAGTTGAATGAATACGGAATGAGTGAATGAATAAAATTATAAAGAAGGAATAATAATTTAGTTTTGGGGAAAAGTCAGCATTATATCAACCTGTGGCTTTTATAGATTAACTAGAAGCCCAGTGCAGGGGGGGGGGGGGGTGCATGTCCCTCAGCCCAGCTTGCACCCTCTCCAATCTGGGAGCCATCAGGTGATGTCCAACTGCTGGTTTAAACCAGCAGTCAGACATCCCTCTCACAATCCGGGACTGCTAACTCCCAACCACTCGCCTGCCTGATTGCCCCTAATTGCTTCTGCCTGCCAGTCTGATCGCCCCCTAACCACTCCCCTGCCAGCCTGATCAACGCCTAACTGCTCCCCTGCTGGCCCGATTGCCCCCAACTGCCCTCCCCTGCCAGCCATCTTGTGGTGGCCATCTTGTGACCACGTGGGGGCAGCCATTTTGGGCGAGGGTGTGATGGTCAATTTGCATATTACCTCTTTATTATATAGGATGTTGCTAAGAGCCTTCCTTTATATGGAGGCTGGGCAGGGGGGAGGAGGTAAGCCTCATGGAGAGGGGAGGGAAGTGCAGGAGAGAGGGTTTATTTCAGGGTGCATGACAAGTGCTTGGAGCAGAGCAGGAAGGTACTGGAAGAAATGAGGAGTGTGGGGAGTATGTTCCCCGGGTTTCTCAGTGCTGCTGGAGGGGGAGACCCTGAGGGACTTGAGGAGCCAGTCTCCGGACTGCAGGTAAAGCCACAGCTGCTCTCCAGCGTCCTCAGGCACAGGGCTGGGCACAGAGTGCCCGAGGGCTCCCTCTCACCGCCTCGGTTTACATAAGTGGCGTTGGTTGCATTCCAGAGCCCATTTAGAAATGTGGGCCCCACAGTGATACAGTGGGTTGTTAGGTGAAAAATTAAATCCTACCATCCAAGGTAACATCAAACATTTATACACGCAAGAGGAAACTATTTTACTCCTTCTTTAGAAATGAAAGTCTACCGTACAGAGCCGGACTTGAGAAATTTGTCCTCAACCCTCTCCCAAGAACCTCCATGCCCTGAAAGACTGTTTAATATTTCCCTTTCCCCTTTAAAGTCAAAATAGCAATGTTTTTATTGGCACCTTATAATGTTTTTATATGAGGCATCTAAATCTCCCACATAGATACTCACTATAGCTAGAAAAGGTTTCATTATTATTTGTAGGTTGATGCTAATTTTTAAAAATATTTTCACAAAGAAAGCATAGTTAGGAAAGTCTTATTAATACTTACAGCTCCTGTTCTTCTAATCTGTGACAAACTGCAAAAAGGTAAGGTCTTACCATGTCTAATCCCTAAAACTCCTTTCCCTGAGTCACAGGTGGCCTCGCTTCCCATTCAGTAACCGGCCCTGGCTGCTTACTGCCCTGCTGACCCTTAGGGAGACCTGATCCACTCCAGCCAGCGATATTTCCAGCATATTTGGGAATTTCTGGCCATCAAGATAGAGATTTTTGGAGATGAAAGATGCAACTTCTGTGCTTCCAAGGAAGCTCTGTACTTACGAGAACTGCGAGGAGGGGGCAGAGCAGGGAAAATGATGAGCCCAAACCAACCTGACAGGCTGCCAAGGGGCGGTGGCCTTAGGGGTCGTGGCTGTCACAGCACGAAGGTGGGGGGCTGTGAGGACCCGGGTCCAGGACTGACTGAGGCCCAGGGCTTGGGCCGTGCAGGTCTTACCTCGGGGCTGGAGTAGTGGGCGGGCTTGCTGCCCTCGCTCTCGCTGGAGCTGCTCTCGCTCTCGGAGTCGGATCCCGAGCTGCTCTCCGAGTCGCTGGACGAACTGCTGCCGCTGCTGCTGCTGCCGCTGCTGCTGCCCTTGCTGGAGGGCACCGAGGCTCTGCAGCTGGCCTGCTGGACCCCGGCGCTGCCAGCCCACGGCCGGGGGGAAAGGGAAGGAAAGTCAAGTGAGCCAACACGCAGCACCACCGCGCAGCTGTCACTCCACCAAAGGAGCGAGAAGGCACAGGCGGCACATTTGTCCACCATCACTTGGCGCTCGAAGAGCAACCGTCAAGGTCAAATCCTGCCCGTTAAGTGGTTACATACATGTCGATAAAATTGGGAGTGAGGGCTGGTGCCTGGGGTCGTCGGGCATGTTATTTGTATGGCCACTCGGAGGGGAAGGCGGTGTGGCTCGGCACGGCTTTCTGTCCTGCCGCTGTTCCTGAGAACGCCTTTTCCAGGGCACCCCCAAACACAACCATCTACAAAGAGGCAAGGAAATCCAAAATGCTTGGAATATTTTGTGAAATTGAAAATGTCTGTTTGCTTTATTTTAGGACGTGGGCTGTGAGGAAGGGAAGTGTTCTGCTCTGTCCTTCCCTGGCCTTCTGGAAGGTTCCGTAGACCGCGGCCCGGCGGTTACATAACCCTGCGCCCCACCTCTTCCCGCCCTCAGACTCGAGCGCTGTCGTCTTCCCAGGCCCTGGCTTGCTGAGTAAACAATCATTTTCCTCTGAGCCCTTCACTGAAGGACTGGAGATCCATCACTTACATGGTTTTATATATTCCAGACCCCAGGAGAGCGGCTGCCTTAGAGCAATAACATTTCAAAGCGTACTTCATGTTCACATTTCATGCTGAAATTCCCCAGCAAGTTATGTATGCAAATTATATATTCAGACAGAATAGGAAAAATGGACATTTTCTAATGGTAATGAATTCACCACAAAAATTCAAGTAATACATAGCCACCCAAAAAAGTGTTTGAGGCAAGAATAAAGTTTTTGGTACTCCCATAATATTTAACATTTTAAAAGTCTGTATTAATTAAAACACATCTAAATCTGTTCTTTTGAGGTTGAAAGCTAAACCCAGAAAGGCAGTGACCACGTTCTCATGTGACGGCAACCAATACTTTGCTTGCCCCTTCCCACTGTGACCATGGACCATGAGCGTAGGCAGGGCGCCAGGGCTTGGCAAGGGCTGCTAGGGTCTCAGTGCAGTTCAGCCTGGACAAGGTGAGGGACCATTTTCACCGGCCCCTGCACCTCTGACAAATGCTCTGCCAGGGACGGAATCGCATAAATCCTTAGTGTGGGGCGTGGGGGTGGGGTGAAGGGGTTATTACTCATTGGAACCCGCTTCCAGAAGCATGACAAGACAAACACCGTCTTGCAGGATAGACCTGAAAATAAAAGCAATTTGTGAGCTGCAGGCCAGGGAAAGAGCGCGCTGGAACACAACCTTGCCTAGAGGTTTTTCTTTCTCCCACAGTGTCACGGCCCACACCCACGGCTGACAAATCCTTCAACACCAGGCGGCAGGGATTTCTTGTGCAGCCTCTCGCTTGCGTCTGGTGCTGAGCGAGAAGCCCTGGCTCTTTAGAAGGGAGGTGAGTGATCAAAGGCTGTAAAATGGCTTTCTTCCCTATGAACGAAAACCCATCTTTCCTGCTGGCGGAGCTGAGATGGCTCCTATCAATAAAGTCATTACAAAGGAGATTATCAGTCTCTGACCCAACACGAACACCTGAGATCCACGTTAGTAATCGTTAGTCAGGGGGCCCCCAAAACACCGGGGTGGGGAAACTCCAAAACACAAACCGACACCCCCCACTAATAAAGCTAAACCAAATCCAAAAAGCCCCAAAGCGAAGCCACACATGGCGGAGGGAAGAGATAGTCAGTCCCCCGCCCCACTTTGGATGCCCTTTTCTGCAGACTGGGAAACCGAGATGAATGAGGAGCACGTTGGGTGGTTTTATGTGATGGCCAAAGGCTTGGAGTACGTCCTACCTGCTCCAGTTCCAACAACAAAGAGCATGTGATGCGGGCTGGTGTGTGGAGTCCCGGGGGCTTGCACCACATTGCGACTCCTTAATTTCTGGGAACTGTCCACTGAGCGTGCCCATGCCGCCCCCTCTGCGAGGCTGCCCTGCAGGATGAGACCGCAGCCCAAGGAGACAGAGCCTCTGGTCCCTCAGGACGGCAGTCAGCCTTACGCGTTCACGTTTTCCTTCCTCAGACTGGGAATTCCCTGACAAGGACAGTCTTACTGACATAACGATTGTTTGTTTTTAAAACAGTGGGGAGAGCCAAGAATTTTAGGTTTCTCTTCATGCTTTGCTCCATGGGCTGAGGCTCACGTGGCTGCGGGTCAGGATAGGATATATTTGTGGTTCAGGGTCCGAGCAGAGAGTGTGTGCCAGGAAGAAAGGTTAAGGGTGGGAGCCTGGAGAGCTCTGTGCCCCGATCTGGGACCAAGGAACTGAACGCATCCACCTGGGGACAGCTGGCCGGGCTGACCGCAGCGGCCCCACTCCCGCCTCAGCACACGGCGCCGCTGCAGAGGGAGGTGGCAGTAAAAACCAGAAGAGGGGATGCGGTCCCCACTGCAGACAAGGGCTGATAAAAGGGCTCTTTGGAGACACAGAATCAAGAAGATGGGAGAAGACGTATTGGAAAGACTTCCCCAAGGAAGACGGGGCTGCATATAGTTAACGTTTTAGTGTGACAATAGGTCTCATGCTTTTGTACCGGAGATACTAAAAAATTAATTTAAAAATTTAACTTTTTCCTGAAACAATAGCATAGAATAGTTGACATGATGACATGAGTGCTCTTGGGCTCCCTGTCATACCAGGAACATGGTGCGGTTGAGTCTGTAGACATGAAAACATAGATGAGGTCATGGGATAAATCTCTGTTGCCCAGCTTGGCACCGTACCTGGGACACAGTGGGCATTCACATGTGATCACTGAGTAAAAAAATCAATAGGAAAAAAATCCATCATTGGTTTAATGAGTTTTTTTTTTTTTTTAAAGCATTTAACCTTTCAAAAAGGTTACAATTTCTCTTTTCCAATAGAAGAATATTTAAGGGGATTTCAGCACCTCTGTGCTCTCCCAATTTTAACACTTTTTCCTTTCGGTGACTATTTCTTTAAATGTACTCTAAATTTCACATGCTATGATGTAGCCCAGTTCTCTCTCGGGTGGTTATTTAATTTTTGTATTTAATTTCGTGGAACATCTTGCTGGTTTTGTTCGTGGTCAGGACCCAATGCCCCCTGGAGAGTCCTGGCTTTATTCTAATGACCGGCTTGCTGTGCCCCTTCCTTTGGCTGCAGTGACACATCCCTGCAGAAGCCGGCCTGGGCCAAGTCTGAACACAGACAGTAACAGAAAAGATCTGGAACCCAAGCGACAAATCCCGTTCTCGCAGTCCAGGGTGTCCTGCCTGCCAAGGGTAGAGTGGGGCCTTGGATAAGTACCCACAGGCGTCCACACGCTTTCAACCAACAAGCGCCGGGGGCAGGCTCCCTGCCGGCCGGCACTGTGGGCGCCCAGGGCCCTGGCCGAATGATATTATGCAGAAGGGCGGTGCCCCTTTTCACTCAGCACTCAGTGTGAACTCAACAAATGCATGATTTCCAAAATGTAATCAGTCCCCTGGCAACAGGATCCTGTATAGAAAGCACCTTTACTAGTATTGCTATTATTTGATCTAAAACTATAACCAATGATGAGACTTGAACATGGTCAAAGCTGGCGCAAGGGGGTTCGGACTGCTGGAGTTATCTTCCAAAAGACAACACTGACAGGACCGTGGACTGATGTATTTTTGTTTGTTCTGCATTATCGCCTGGAACAGCTCTGCTAACACATGGCTTTTGAAGCTCTTCGTGGTCTGGCCTCAACCACGGGTCCATCCGAAACCCCGGCCGTGATCACTTCTATCACTTTGACAGTGTGTGTCGGTTTCTGGCTGCGTGCCTTTGCCGCGCCGTCTCGCAGGAAGCCCTTTCTCCCCTCCGCTTGCCCTGCAGGCCCTCTCAGGGCCGAGCTGCAGGGCCCCCTGTTCTGCACAGGTTTCCCAATCCCCAGGCATGGCGGCTGTTCCTCGCCCGAGCCCCCCAGCACACCGCGCATTTCTCTGCTATTATCCTTGTATCCCCAACGCTGGCAGAGGGTCTGACACAAATAGATTCTCAACTAATGTTGATTGACTTAATAAAATAACGACTCCTGACACAGTGTGTAAAACTGATTCCCGATACAATGTATTTTGTTATACTACGAAGTAGCCCAGGAGATGTTGGTATATCTGTATTTTCTCTGTTGCTCTGGGGCTGCGTAGGATTTCATAAAACTGGTATCTTTAGAAAGCTACCATCTATATCATTGGTTACAAATAGAAAACCTACAGAGGCAAGGCGAGTAGCATAAGTGACCAAGTGTACAAATGTAAGGAAAACAAATGTGTAACCTGTGATGCTAACTGACAGCAGACCCGTGGCTCCCTCGTGGGCAAGGTGTCGACCTGGAGCCCAGACAGCTCCCCAGGCCAGCCTCGCTCTGCCAGGTGGAAATGGGAGCCCGGTGTTACCAAATCCTTTGATGTTCCAGAGGAAGCCCCAAATCCCAAGGTTTATTTCAAATCTCCCGATTTTAAAATGCTAGCACCCAATTTGAAAAGTTCTGACAATGAAAAGTTCCATTGTATGTCAGCAATGAGACGCATCTGTGGTCAGTGGAGGCCTGTGAGCGCCAGTCGGAGACCCTGGCCCATGTCCTGTTATCACACATTCTGAAGGCCTCAGACGGTTCCTCATAAAAGAATGAACAAAAAAGACCACGGCTAGGAGTTTTACTCTCTCAGGATTTAGGTGAGCAGGGCCAACAAGAGGCTGCCGCTAAACAGATACAATGGCTCTCTCAGTCCACTTACTTCAAAGTTTTTAAGATTTTGAAATAATGACTGATTCACCAGAAGTTGCAAAAATAGTAGGGATGTCTCATGTACCCCACACTCAGTGTCTCTCATGGCCTCATCTCATAGGATTACAGAACAATGTCAACACCAGAAAACTGACAATGGAACAGTGTGCGTATAGTTCTATGACATTTCATCACGTGTAGA